GGAGGCCTACCGTAGTTACACGGGGATGGTGTGAACAACCATCTAATGTCGGAGTCATACTTCAATGTTAGTCCCTAACGTGGATTACTTTTTCATCGTTGGCAGGTACTATGGCTGCTCCGATGATCGTACAACACAAACGACGCCATCACATAAATATATTACTAAGAGTAGGTACAAGGAACAGGATGAGATAACCGCTGCATGAACCAGCCCATAGTGTGCGATTAATTGCCACTAGTTGGTTGCCCTTAACTTGGAAGAGGATCGGTGAACTGTTCGATACTCAGTGACCCGACCGTTGTATGATTTGGCTAGGGCCCAGTGACATTTCATACTGGGCGATAAGTTATATGCCAAAATTGGGGTTTCTGAGTAAGCTATTGAGCATCTGCTAAAATATTTTTTAATGCAAACAGCCCTGTAAATGATTTGTATGATTTCTAGTTTTTCAGTTTTCCGATGAAAACAGGGTACTATAAGAGGTGCCTACTCTTTTCACACGTTAGTCTTATTATCAAAAATCTACAATGGACTCATAAAAGGACTTAATCAAGAAAACTGTGGGCGAAGCAGACAATACTAATCGTAAACAGATATTATCACTGTAAACTAAAATGGCTGCATACGGATTAGATAACGATGATAAAGTGACACACCAAACAATGTAGTATGCTCAATGAAAAAATACTGACAACGTTTATGTAAGAAATGTTATTCGAGAACTCTTTCTAGGATAACCACCACAAATGAAGTTTATTCGATTAACGAGTTTTCCACTACATAGTTGTCATCCACAACGCGAAGCAACATACAAACCTGAGAGCATTAGTAGACTAGAATCCAGGTCAAGAGTCACATGTGGTGTAGAGCGGCATATGAGAATGTTATAACACTATTTTATTCCTTAATCACCGACCATGGGAAATAAAACAGAAAAGTGAATAATAATGATAATATATTTCTTCATAACCAGGTACACACGATTTTTACAGGCATGATCTAAAAATTACAACATTTGTTGGCTCACAAAATGCTTCCCAACTTATTAAGTTTATAGTTGTTATAAAGTGGACTCGTAGAGCGCCTGCTGTAAACTATGACCTTGAGGACACGCGTACGTCATGTTTGTTCCAGACGTCAGAAGTTCCATAGCTGTGCCCTCAGAGCAAGATTCTGAAGAAAGAAAAAAGAGAAACAGAAGAGCAGTTAGGCACTTGGATATGAACGCCAAACATTGCTTAACATTTTGTAGTAGAACAGACAGAGGTATAAAAAATTATATTAAATTCATATTAATATGAGGTGACGAGAGGAGAAATAATATTAATTGCTAGTCAACATAGCGTACAGAAGACTAAAAAGCTAATAAAGAATAGATAGGAAAAAAGTCACATTAACTTGGTGCTGATGTTATTTTGTGTTGTCATAACCAGTTGATGGGTAACAGGCTCCATAGATGCAAGACCACTGGTAGTAGGCAGTCGATTGTGCGGTCCTCTTGACTTTTTAGGGTGGCGACCGAATTTAGTTGAACAGTATCGATAGGTCCAGTGAGTTACCTGTCTACTTTAAGTGAAGAAGTAGGTGTTATAACTTGTGACTGCAGATTGGATGGCAGCGAATTGTCGATCGGACTAAAGACACGTAAAACACGTGAGAACAACCTAGAGTCCTGATTGGTCTTGCTTCCCTGTCTAGCTCAGCCAGTTGAGTCCAGAACACAAATCTCAGCCTCTGCAATATGAATCATTATATTTCGAACATACTCCGTTTATATACCAATCAAGCAGACCACAACGTACCATAAAATAGAAAATAACACTTGTACAATATTTGGCCAACAGGAAAATGAGACGTGAAATAAATATTGACTAGTAGGGAAACGACACGTGATATAAGTATTGACCAATAGGAAAATCATACCATCTCAAGTCGAAGGATAGCATTAGACTTGACAGAATAATTTTTGGGATATTTTTCTGAATATCCCAACAGTAGGGTGGAAAAAGTAACTAATATAACTGCAAAGTAGGAAAAATAAGGCAAACTGAACTTGAAGTTCATTTTGGTCTAGACATCTAGAGAGCCTATGATGTCCGAGTGGAGCGCAAATGTGTTCGTACGTGCTAGATCAGTGCAAGTGAACGCTTGATCAAGCAGTTTTACAAACGTATGCAATTAATCTTCCATGGGTATTTCGGAGGGAAAACTGTTAAATATTATTGCATGCTTGATGAGGATGAAGTTCTCCCGAGTTTTTGATATGTATTTCTCAACTTTGACGGTAGATACTTTGTTTCGAAGTTCGTATTCATATGAATCTCGGGCAAGAACTATATTACATGTTGAATAAGTTAGGTAGAGAACCAAATTACACCTAACCCTTCTTTTCCAAAGGGGTTCTATTCCTAAGAATTGGTATCGGGCACTGTTGTCAACGACCGATTCAGGTCTAAGCATTTCGCGGGTGAAGTCTCGTTGTATTCCTTCCACCTTTAGTATATCAGAAAGGCGTAGGTTGGAAAATAAGAACTTGCATTATTCAATGATAGGTCTTACATGAACTTTATAAAGAAGGATTTTAGATTCATTTTGACAGAAATTACGGAGAATGAAGTCAAGCAATTTCCTCATTTTAGATGCTTTGGATGAGATGTGTTCAGAGAAATTAAGACTGTGTGAGTAATGTACTGGTGCCAGTCTGGGTAGTGTGTTGTTGTTAAGTGTTAGTCTTATTTTAAGAGACGTGTCTCCTATACATAATCATAAAATTTATTTTAAAACCAAAAGTAGCGTGTGTTTCGGTTTGTTAACTATTCATAACCGTTAACAATTAATACATATAAACAATAGATATTTCACATGAGTCGGATTACATCCAGAGAGTCACAGGGAAATGAAAGATATGTTCCTTGTTTTGTGATGGTAAATATTACCAAATATACATGTCATTATAAATCATATTCTCAAACAGTATATCTTGTTTCAATGTTCCTATTATAAACGGACTTTGTAAGATATCAGCCCAAATGAGTAACTTTTTATGGAGAATCATATAGAGTTTGTGACGAAGCAACAATCTGTGGACGACATTTGAAAAATACTGAAGTGACTTTGAGACGATGTTTCCATTTGCTATGGTCAAATAAGTTTTATAAATTGGTATGATTAATCTGGATTAAGATTTAATGTTAGAACATGGTGTTAGGAATAAAAGTAAAGGTTCTCAGCACTAACTGATATCGGAAATGGTGCCAAAATACCATTTAGCTACATGAATGAATGGAGTTTGCACCAAAAGTCATGACTCGGTATCCTTAATTCTGCACGACTAATTACTATCCACAAACTTCTTTTCACCACAACAGTACGGTTTCACAAAAAGTCGTTCTTGTATAACCAACTTTCTGACCATGGTGGACAGATCGACAGCCATCCTTGGTCGCAAGCTTTTGATGGGGTCAACCATATATGTCATATCAATAAGCCTAAATGATCAGGTATCGAAACACCTTTAATTGATTGGCACACTTCACACCTAAGAAGTCGAAATTTAAAGGTCAGTATTAATTTCACTTTCCCTCAGGCTATGGAATGTTCTATTGAAGTCTCAGAGGGTTCAGTACTTGGACCTCTTCTTTTCTTAGGTTACAGAATATAGGTGTCGTCGGATTTATAACTTTTCACTGTTGATGCGGGCGTTTGGACAGAATATTGCAACCAAGAGGATAAACTTGCATTTAAAGAAGAACTGACTCGACTTCAAAGTTGAGCAGACGATAACGGACTTACCTTCGACACGTCAAAGTGTAAAGTAGTCCATCTGAAATATTTTACAGACTACGAATAAAATTAGGTGACTCCCCCATGGAGGTACCTCAAGTTGAAAAAGATCTCAGAGTGTTGGTGCTCTTAGATCTGAAGTCTTACGATAACTGCGACAAAAACGCCATCTGAGGATAACTCGCACTGGTGACCTTGAAGAGCATTTTCGGTCAGTTCGGCGGAAGAACGTTCTACAGAACCGTCAGCACTTTTATTTGTCACCATTTAGAGTACAGAAGCACAATATTTCCTTCCTCACTCCAAAATGATAAGGACACACTGGAACGCACCCAACGGCGAGCCACGAAGTTAGTTCGAGACTCGAAGTCAAGCCCTATGAGGATCGCCTTCAACCACTGAAACCTTACACATTAGAGTACAGGCGTTTTAGAGCTGACCTTCTGATAACCTACAACATCCTAAATGCTCCTGGGTATCCCTTTGAACACCTACTTAAGGTTAGTCCCAAAACAAACATTAGGGGTAACACTCTGAATGTGGAGACAGCACAGCAGAACTGGCTGCACACACACCATCTGTTCCTTAAGAGTAGTCAAGTGTTAAAATTCGCTGCCATCTGAGCTAGTGAAGATGACTTTAAGAGAAATGTGACATATTCTTAAGGACTAAGGACAGTAGCTCACTATGATTTACCAACATCTTCCCTTTTCCTCTTTTATCGTCAATATATCTAGATTCCTACCTGTAGGCATCGGTGATCTACTGCTACCAGATGCAGAAGACTGTCCAGCGGAAGCTTCTTTTAATCCGTACAGAACCATATGAACCGTTTTATCTATTACTTTAGGTGGAATGTTGTAACTTAAAATTTCAACTTTGGTATTAATTCACTTTATCAGAAACATCTCTGTTCACTCCAGTTTCTCTTTATTGTCAAGAAAACGCACTCCTTTGTTTATAAATACGCGTTCGAATGTATAAAAAAGCACCTTTTGGATAACATACGTTTCTATCCAAATACACTAGGTGAGTTTTATCAGGTAACGGGGAAATAGATATTTCTTTGATTACTCACTTACTCATGAACAATAATTCATTACGTATACTTTACCTTACATGATTGAACTTAATAACTTCTCATACTAATTTACTTATGATGTTTTGAATTGAAGCTCTGGTGTATTTTATTGGTCCTTTAATAAAGTTGCGGCGGGAAATAAAAGTGTTTACGTGTCTTTGAAAGTTAGTTTTGTGTGACTGTATTCACCCACACAAAGCACATGTGTTAGTTTTACCCTTTCAGCAAATAAACACAAAACCCTCTTAAAAAGATATGTGTGACTAAATTGCAAACTTAGGCCTAGTTATTAATATTTTAAGATTTGTTCTCTTGGCAGCTAAATGGCATCGCCTCTGCCTCCAGTCGATATTGAACAGCAGAACATTATCGATAAATTGGCTGAATTTGTGGCCAGAAATGGGCCAGAATTCGAAGCACTAACAAGTGAAAAACAGAGGGACAACCCAAAGTTCGCATTTCTTCGAGGTGGCCAGTTCCATGAATATTATATGTTTAGAGTTAACGAAGCTCGTAAAATTTGGCAGCAGCAGTATTCGACGAAAAATAAATCGCATCAGGTTGGAGTAATACTTTTTGATAATTTTATACCAGGGTTTATATGGTTTGTAATACATATACGTAGTCAGGGGGGTTGTTTTGTATGCGGTAGATTTGTCATTTTCACGAAAGTATCTTTCATAGGATCAGGCTCAAGCATTCGCTTTTTTTGCCGGTGCTATATTCTTTGGAATTGTACGTCACTGACAGTTCAGGGCCGACTTTATGTACCGAAACCAAGTAGTTATGGTTAGATAACATATTATCCACATAGACCGCTAAACCCAACTCCTGGTTTTTTATTTTCACAACTAATCCCAAAGCATCAAGTCTGCAAAATGGCTCGTAATGTTGACTTGGTTATTTGCTTTTAGCTTGCATATCAAAGAATAATTTAACAGAAACACTAGATAGATTAATACAATTACCAATAAAATTAAAGTTACTAAGTAAATAAATGTGTATTTGTTAGCGTGAAAAGGGTTAAATTCGTTGTATCTATACACAATAACTATTGCGAATTACAGTACTTGAAATTCGAAGGCCAATTCATGTCTCTAAAGCCACGTTCACTCCCTGGTTACACTTTTATTAGACTCCAAACTGTACATCCACTAAGGAGTAAATAAATAGAAGCTTCGTAAGGCCATATACAAAAAGTATGATAAGGGAAATTCAGGGGCGAAATATACATGTGATAATGGTTCCTACTTTAACTAAATGATGGAAAAATTAAAAATGATAGAACAATCAACCGCATTAATAAGTTACTCATTACTTATACCAAAGTGAGGAGTAAGTGCATCTCGATAATTGCGTCTAATTGTGGGCCATATTTCTTAAAGTCCTTGTATATGACCCAAGTTTAAGCACCAGAGTTTCAAGATTTCTGTCACCGGCTTCAACCCTACTCTGCCTACTTTGGTTTTAACATTAGTAATATATCTGATCTCCATAGAACGTATCTAAAAACTATGCAATTAAGTCCGGGTTTGTCTTTCGAGCTCTAACGTGTTGTTTAGTTTAATTAATCAATTTTTCGACCATCGACTTTTCATAAACACCGACAGAAATTATATGTCCATAATACGGCTCAGATGAACGATCTAATAAATCGGTACTTTCACTCAATCAGTAACTGTATATTTTTGTCCGTTTGGTAGAGTACACTCATCTGTCTTCAATTTAAAGACTTTTCTCTCATAAACAGTAATTTGGAACACTTTTTCTAGAAATCACACAACGACTATGATTGTCATAGGTCATCCCCAACGATATTAAGGCTTGATTGTTATGCCTTATTCTTGCCGTCATAGAAGAAATAGGGCATGGTACTAATTTCTACTTGGAAGGTAATTCTTGCAAACCAGCTGGTCGCCTGAACGAGTCATAGTTCAGACTGCTAAATAGTAAGATTTCTGACAGCAATATTGAGGCGTTTAACAACATTGTTTTTAAGGTAATAAATATCGGTTGTGGAAAACTATCAATTAAATTTCTAGCTATATCCATATTAGATTTAACGGTTTATATAAACTCATATGTAGGCAGATAGACCCCACTGTTTAATTCCACATTAAGTGCCTTACAACAGTTCATATAAAAGCAACAGATAGTAATAGTGAATGACGATTATATTTGTTGAGGGGTAAGTAAATTACAGTAATAAATTCAGCAGTCTTGTACTTCGTGTCTTTACAGTTACTGATAAATATAAAGCTAAATAACCAAGGTTTTGTAGTGTGGCGTCGAGTTGCGGTTGACTATGATCACCACTACAAGGTTGCGTACCAGATATCAGAAGGCGATTGGAGGTTGTAGCGAGATATATTTGTCGGCGATCTCGTGGTATCGAAAGAATACCGAGATCCTGCCAAAAGAGTACAAGCGGAGTCACTGAGCAAACGTAAGCGCGTGCAAGGTCTCAATCAACAGAAGGAAGAATGTCTTTAGTACAGTCAAACAAACAAGTACAGTAAAGCAATCACTGGTACAATTGGTTATAATAATAATTGTTTCCATTAAACCAATCTCGTTCTCTTGATAAAAGCAGGTCACTATAGTTTAATGGAGAAACACATGTTAAATGATCTAAATAACTTTGTTCTGAAGAGGCAGCTTACGCTAAGTTGCGAGGCGTTAAAAATTTGATTTTCTACTCATCAGGATATTACATGTATATCAACAGTTTCACTAATAACAACCCATTCGATTCACAGTTTATTTGGGATTATCAGGTCAAACGTTGGTTATGATACCTGAGAATGTATTCTTAGTTCTGAAGTCTGTATGTAAATGTATTTCGAATGTCCCTCGGCTATTGTATGAGTGAATATTCGCCTTTATTAATTAAATTCACACATCCTTCCTGAATGTCTTTTGTACATTTAGTTTGTTTCCTTTATCAGCGACATTTGTATTTTCTGGTCTACTACCGATACCTTTCAGCTACTAAATAATTTTGCTTCATTTTTCAAGTTAATCAAATTTCTTTTTTCTTCAATGTATATGAATAGGAAACCAATGACCTTAAAGCGTGTGTTCTTAAGAACTTTAACTAATTACGTACCACATTTATTAACACTTTGACGTTATAAATGCATGTATTCGCCAGTAGGGGTGTGGTCATGTGTAATAATAGATCCAGAAAGACCAGTTGGTATTTATTTCCGATTGATTACAATGTCTGTCGTTGTTAGCTTGGCTTAACGGCCTATTCTATCTTTCTGTTAAGATTCTCAATTCCAGATCCAACTGGGTCAATATGAATGAACAATGGGATCAGTATGGTGGAAATCCAGATCATTGGCAGCGTTATAGTTCCGCACCACCAGGGCATTGCGGATGGGGTGGTCCAGATCCATCATGGTATCCAAAGCCACAATGGCCACATTTTCAACAGGGTGTACGAGTGCATGGCGGTCAACCTGAATATCCATACCATCCTCCTTCGGAAGCGGTAGATTCTTATCGCCATGGAAATTATAATAATCATCCTCCATATGGTTACCCTGGACACCATGGAGCATTCCCAATTCAGCAGTTTTCGTTTGGACCTGAGACTTATCGTGCACCGAGACCTCATTATGATTACCAAGTTTCTGGTGGTTCTGAACTAGGAGAAGCTGATATCGAACAAAGTGAGAAAAATTTGGCTGCCCAGCATGAGTCGTTGCTTGCTCGTCAAAACGTTGAAATTCTCGAGCTCTTGGACAAAAAGAGAGAGGAAAATGTTAGGAAAACTGGAGAGCAATTGAGCATGTCTTGGGAACAGATGAATGAAGTTAGTAACCTATTTTCCGTTTTTATTTGACTTATGGTAGTGCCGAGGTGGGAATCGCATTAATCCTATTATTATTACTATTATTATTATTATTATTATTATTATTATTATTATTATTATTATTATTATCGTAAGTCTGCATAATGTTTTTCGTCTACGTTAAGGAGGCCTAATGATTGTATGAAACTAGTTTCATACATAAAGTCTCGTTTAGTTTTTTTATACATTTGCATGTAGTTAAATCAAACGTATTAACAGAAAAGTCCACAAACATCTCATGATTTCTTATTTACATGGCTTGCAAACTAAACTTTAGGAACTAAAGTTTTAGAAAGTGGTGTGGTATAAGTAGGATAAATTATGATTTCCTAACTGCGTACACTTTATGCTGATATTATTGACTTGTGTGTCGCATATAACACACAAAAACACATCATACCCCAGTAATCAAACTTGCTCAGGGTATCGTTTAGAGGCCCTTGATTACTTCAGCGCTCAAAAATACAAAACCAACGATTGCTACGTTATCATTATTGTGGTCGAATTTCCATGTCATTAGCGGACATTTAGTGTTTAAAATGCTTGACTTTCAACTATTGGGTTTGAAATTCAAATCCCATCCACCTGCTTTTATTTGGTCAGTCCGTAGTGCTTATGCAAAAAGGTGGTCCGAATCTGCGACTAAAAGACTTTACTTTGTTGTTGAGTTGGGATTATTTTATTTATTTACTACTGTTTCATCCTCAGATCTCGCAGCAGTTAGATGTAACCTAGTGTACTATAAACCTCGGGGCTTGTGAAAGTAGTTTCTTGGGGCAGATCAATCCTCGTTGGGTGGTAATAGGTAAACGTGTTCTAATAAAAGTAATTCTACTTGGTGACCTAGTAGGGACTATTGTCGTGAGCTTCTATGCATTCATTTACGGATCTGGATTCCAGAATTTCACTCTCCCTCCAGTATATTGATGAATGTTTAGTGCTTCTACAAAATTAGTGGTGTACTTACTTCAAATACGGAATGAAGCTCCAAAATCAGCTACTGATATCTCCTTTATTCGAGAAATGTCACTTTACATGTTCGTCAAAAGCTTCACCTGTATTTTAGGTTGTTTTCCTGATACTCTTTTACTGTCGTTTTTTTAATAGTATCCAATTCTGCGTGTTTATTATAGTAATGAACCGTAAGCGTCCTTCGTGGTGGGGGATATTAGAAAACCACTTTCATTACTCATGTATCTATATGGTTAGTGGTGTCATTTCGTAACATCAACTGCTAGACCAAGCTTCTTAAGTAAATTCCCCCATCACCATCATAGGATAAGTGCAAAATGACTTCTTAATTACTTTTCTCCCTTGTTTTATCATGGTACGAATGACCTTAAATCTAAGTGTGAATAGTTGAGACAAATGTTATGAGATTACAAATTGTTATAAGTGGATAATCATTAATGTCAATTGTGACAATGTATGTTGAGTGTTCACATTTAATACTATGTAATTTATTTTAATAGACAGTGGTTCACGTCATGTTTTAATTTAGTTTTAAAATTTCACAAGGAATACGCCATTGAGTAAGTATGATATTACTATGTTCCAATTTTTAGATGCATACTAGTCAGTTGAGTGTATTATTAAACTGAAACTTACTAAATCTGAGATTTTTTAGTAGAATACATCAATATAAGTGGATATTTGGAACATGATAATTAATTTCAAACGAAAATTTATTTATAAATGATGTTTTGATTTGCATTAAATCTGTATACTTTTTGTTTAGATGATCCAACCGCTCATTGAAGCCTGTACAAAAGAAAATATATCTAAAGGAAAATCTTGGGTTGTTGACAAAATGTCTGAGTCACCTGAGCTAACTAAGCTAATGTCTGATTATCTAATAACACGTGCAAGTGCTATTAGTGTTACATTCGACTTAAGGCTCCACTTGGTATACTTGTTAAACGACCTACTTCATCATTCTAAACGTCGTGGTGCTCCTGTTCATCTGCAAGTATGTTATTATTAAAAGTTGGAGACAACTTACAGATTTATATTCATTTTGATTAGTCCTAAAAGATTCTGTCATCACTGTGAAATGTTATTTACACACTCAAATTTACTTAACAATAATGTTTAGCTTACTATGGTTTACACTATGATTTTGATTTAAGAAGCCTACTATCGAAGTAATTCTAATTACAATAAATTTATCGTATCATACGATGTAACATTCAATTGACTTGGTTATTTTAGAACGTACAATAATGTTGGATTTTCTTAGTTACTATAAATCTTAACTCGACAGACAGAAAGCTAAATATCAGAATACATCGAATAGTTGAGAATAAAGGATACCAAACAAAAAAATATCGTCGTTACTAATGTTAAGCCACATCACCGTAGCATCAAGCCAACAGCAGTTTATTCTTTTGCGGACCTCATAAGAAAGGTGTAAATTATTGCTTACTATTAGAGTAGATAGTTACTTGAGGAATTAGTGCTATTTTACCCATTTATCACACTGAAAGGTTTCAATTACTTACGGAATGACGCCAATATGAACGCTGTTTAATATCGGTATATCATTTCTGGTTTTTTCCACAATAGATTGTGCGAAATATTTACGTATGTCGACTTCTCTGTGCTTTTGTTCCTAGGCAATTATTGTAACACTAAAATGTCCTCTCTACGACTAATTAGCTTTAAATTATTTTCTAAGATTCCAATTCAAATCTGTAGATTATCACCCATTAACAGTTGGTTCGCAGGTTCTGTAATTCTTGTTTATGCATTTCGGAGACTGATAACTTATTTGATTACAGTATTATGATAGTAAAAGTTTAAGTTGTTCTTATTACTCACGTGCCTAAAGTACATATCCGGGTTTCCAATTATGTTTAACCTACTGATATATGAAATAGCTTCATGTCTAATAGCGTATATAATGGGTTCACTAGTGTCATAGTTGGAAAATCGCTCGTCAGCACTGTTATAACTGGAAAAATGACCTTGTTACCACAGTTGTAACTGGGTAGCCAACTTTTATATCTGAAGAGCCGTCACTGTTATGTACGCATCGAGTCCATTGGGTCCTCAGTCTTACTGCTTTTACTTAATAGTCGAGAACCACTACAATTTCTGGATCCTATTGCTTATACCGGGAAACGAGGACCACTACAATTCTTACAACCCAGAGTGAGAACACGAAAGATTGGTGAAACGAAGGTTTGTTGACTCCTCCAGAATAAGTCTCCAAATAAGTCCCAAGATCACACCATCCTTAGATTAAAATTTAGTCATTTATATACTAAGTTTTGCACACAATGTTATATACAGTATGTTTGAAATACATGATTCATATTGCAGAGGCTAAGATTGGTGTTCTTGACTCAACAAGCAGGGTTAGGTAGGGAGAAGGACCGATAAAGACTCTAAACTACTCGTACGGGTTTATGCGTCATAGGTCTGGTCGATAACTCACTATTCTCTAATTGGCAGTATCATTACGTTATATGTTAATAGAGCACAAGGCTACAAGTTATAACACAATAATATCACATGGGAGGGGGAAATACTTAAGATTACTGTAAAAACACAATAAATACAGTTCACTTTAGTTAATACAGTGAATAAAATTGTCACACTTGTCATATAGAACAGACTTTGTACAGATTGAATACGAAAAGATATTGACCCAAATTATGTCATCTCATTCTGTTTTATCAAATGTATAATAACTATTTCCTAGTCGGATCTTGAAAAGCTGGTTAAATATGACTCCTTAATATCTACATACGTGGTTGATACTGTCGAGAAATAGCAGATATGGCGTGAGATTATATGTTTCCCCTTTTGAAATCGATTTATTTGATTGGTTAGTTATCAAACTATACTGAAAAAGATATTGGTTGATCTCTCATATGAATTTCGTATTTACATAAGATCTTTGTTCTATGAAAGACTTATTTTCTATAGATAGAAATAAACCAGAGCGGTGAGTCCTAGGTAAAGTGCTCGATTTCCAAACATTGTTGCAAGTCCCAACTTAATTCGACTTGATGAAGTATAAATGTCAGGGTAGTATCACTAGTTTTCATACAAAGTTTGTAACTTAAATTTAGATAATAAATATTCTCTTAGCTTCTGAGTTGCACTATGTTGTGGCAATGAATTTAACTCATAAATATATTCAATACACACTTTATTTCGATTTTTATCTACAGGAAGCTTTACACGAAACAGTGCCGGTAATTTTCTGCCTAGCGACTGAGATTGCAGATGATGAACAAAGAGCCAAAATTAATCGTGTTTTAAGCTTGTGGGAAACCAACTCTTATTTGCCAGTCGAAGTTTTGGTAAAGATGCGACCTCCAGAATCAGGTAAATTCTTGGCGGAATGGAAAGAAAGTCAGTCAAAGGTCAGTGAATTTAGTATTTTTGTGCTCCGCAAAATTTCATCTTTTTCTATAGAACAGTATGATCTTTTCGTAATTTTCGGACACTAGGATATTTTAATCTACTGAAGACTTAAGTGTTTTGTAATTGAAACTCATTTTTTAAGTGTATCGAGAGTTAAATTGACACCATAACTGATACAATAGAGTATGTCGATCCAGAGAAATTAGTTCTTCTGGAATATTTTTTCCTCTTAACCACCAAACGCCGTTAGTATTTTGTTTATCACATGCTGGGGTGTTTACCTTATAAATGCCTAGTTTACTAGAAGGGAAGTCTGTTCCACCGTCTTGTTCATGTTGTGTTATTTAATGTCTTATAGCGTAATTCACGAATTCGGAGAGTGAAAATAAAGTTTATATTGATGGTATAGTGATATTTGTCTCTGCATTATCGGCGGAAGGAAAGTTTTAAAAAGTTGAGGACAATAGTAACATGTTGGTTTATCGAACGGAAAAAGAAGTATTGAAGTTCCTTCATAAGATAACTTCCAATGCTATGGTTCCATTCCAGGATACTGTCTCATCATGCTAGTTATTTAATAACCGGTAAATATACCGGCTGGATCTTTTGAATCTCAATGGTGTGTGACTGCCTTCTAAGCATAACGACTTAGGAGTCGTAGTCGAAAAACAGTAGTAACTAGAGTGATAGATACTGAACTTTATTAAGCATTTATGATTCAGGAAACCAAGTCTGTCATAAAGCCATTACTTTCGTTATTATCTTAATGTTGCTCATCATTTTCTCTGCTCTATCCATAGCGTCAGTCCTTGAAGTCATTAACTTCTAGTCTGAGCCATGTTGATAGATGCAGACTACATGGTTGGAGTCCGCGTAACTATCGTAATCAATGGTTGGAGACTCTGTGTGACATGGCTCAGAATAGATTACAGTGGCGTAGGTGTATTCACTTTTTGTCTTCCCTTAAATCGTGAGATTAAAACTACTTTATACTTTTCTTCCTCATTCTTTCCTCCTGTACTATATCCTTATACACAATATTTCTCTTATACATTAAAACCTTTGAATTAACTAATTCTGTGAATCCGGTGTCCATCTTGCTGTGCTAATGAGGTATGGCAACTTGGACCGATGCATATATGTGCCTGGTCCTGCGTTGTAGCTGACTGACTGACTAATTCTATCCAATAGTTTACTGTGGTTTGGACTCAACTATTATGAAGACGTCTCATTTCACCCTTACAGTTCTGGGATATGCACCAGTTCATAGATTATTTCATGCATTCAGAATCAGACTGTCAGTCGATGTAGATGATTAGTGAGTAGTATCTAATATGTATTAGCTCATTATATAACTATACAAGTTTTAAAAGGGTTAATTAGGAGCAACACATAAATGACTCGACTGCTACTGACTGACTGACTCTGACTCGACTGGTAGTGTTCGAGTAAAGAGCCTTCACAAGGTTTATGTACTTCTGAGGTACACCTTTCAATGACAGAAACTTCCACAAAACCTCTCGGTCTACCGAGTCAAATGCTACCTTTAAGTCAAGTAAGACCACCATTGTCGGACCCCGATAAGCATGTCTGTGTTCTGGAACCTGACGAATGTTGAATATTACTCTTTTGGTAACAATTATTTCCCTTTGTCACTTTACTTAATATTTAGTTTGAGTTTCTCATTGAATAGAAAGTATCCTACCTGTAATGAAGACCAAAATCATAGTTCCTCTCATCATCCGACAATTGATAATACTAGTTTTTTTTCAGATGACTTTAATTATTAAGTGAATTTATTTTCTAATGTATGATTTGCGTAAGTGAAGCAAGTTCTTTTTTCCAAATTAGTTCTGTAATAAATAACGTCCCCTTATCCATTAAATGTGAATCAGATCTGTTACTGATTCTGCAAGTAGATTTTGGTTTCTAGCTATTAATATTACCTAAATATACCACAGTAACCTTTTTCATTCAGTTTCAATGTTGATTACTTCTTAGTGTGATCAACCAAGTGCAACATAAAATGATCGTTATTGTTAATGATGAGATGTTGATATAGATAATAATAATTACAATATATTTAAAAGCTCACTCATTTTACCGTTAATCGCTGATGAAAACACCTAGCTAACACTACTCTTTTTCTGTGTATAATGCTGTATTCTGCTGTTCTATATTGTTGTGTGCAGTTGAATAATACTAACAATTAACCCTTATTTAACTTATGAACTGTTTGATCAAAATATTCTATCCGAACTGTCATTCTCTCATTAAGTATTCATTGAAGGTACTGTGGTTTTGCCTAAAACTGAAATAGGAAAGTTTAGCACTTTTTTATGTCAAATATCTAGACCGGGTATTTCTTACCGTCGACATAGTCTTTAAACAAATAACTTTAAAAAAACAACAAACTATTAGACCTAGACAAAAGAGAAACTGAACCCTTTCGTCATGCATATAATCACCGTGTTGACGAAGGAAAAGGCCAATTATTTGAATTTCATCTAATGTTTTCTTACTGTATTTTATACATATCAGCTACTCGAATCATTCAATCAATTGTTATTTACATGCTTAAGCACATATCATTTAGTATTCTTTGTATTTTCATTACTACGAGGCTTTTTGTGTCTTTTCTTCACAAAACTCATCTTAAGCTTTCGTTTAGAACTCACTAATAAGTACTTCATTTTACCAAGTTTTCTTGTGGTGTAATAAATATTAAATAATTGAGTTGAAGCCCAATACCTTTGTAGTAAATGATTTAATAGCTAAATTAATAGACATTTATAAAACCAATCAATGAAAAGTATGAGACTAGTGAAAGAAAACTAAGTGTTAAAATAATCTAACTGTTATTATTTATTATGTTTGTGGGGACGATACATTGATATGCACAACTTTATCTGTCAGTTGCTATTACACATTACTATTGTATAAGATAATATCCAGTAGATTACGGAGCCCAAAATGGATATTTTTAAGAGTATGGTTTATTTTCTTTCAAGCTGTTCATGTTTGCCTGTTTGTTTGTTTTTTCTTCAGCCGTTTGAAAGTGAAATAGACAAAATAAAAGCAAATATTATGAATCAATACACTAGTCTTGAGCGACAACATCAAGAGTTTGCAGATCATGTACTACGACAGTTAGCTTCGTCACATTCCGATAAGTCTGATGAAGCATCTATCTCTGATAATCATCATTCCCAATATGGATCATCTCATCATCCTATGCAGGTTTGTTCACATTAGCACTATGTATTGTACTTTATCATATATATCCATGTATGTGTACAAAACATTAGGATTAGTACTAGAGGCGAGCAGGAAGTATTTGTGCATGTGGACAATACTTAACGGCCGTTTATACTACAATTGTAGTTCCTGTAAGAAGATTTAAGTGAAATAGTTTGTTAGGCTTCGAAGTGGTCTGGGACTCCGGACAAAAAGCACTGTCAAATATAATGACATTGACGTTGATTTCAAAGTATTACTTGTAAAGCAGAATTAATTGTTGCTTCAATTACTTATGTTTGTGTGTTTGATGAGGTTTTTGTCAATGTTAGACTTACTTATATCACTTTTCGAGGAAAAATACATGTAAACTTTTCCAGAACATTTATAAAATATGCAACATATAAATAATAATAATAATAACAATAATAATAGATATTTCTCAAACATTTGTTAACATAGATTTTACCTATTATATATTAGATTGAAAGGATTAATTCTGTTCATGGTCTTGCAAAAAAATTTATGCTACCCAGTTGTTATATAATGTTGTTTGTACTTATTATTCTCTTCCCTGGTATTGTAACTAGTGAATCTATTATTTTAGTGTCCAAATCATGCTTTTTTTGCAGCTGAATAAAATCTGTCTATAATCATCATATTACATACCATCTAATTTGATGGTCGGTCTTTTATTTATTGTGGTGAATAAATAAATTATTCATTTGATTTAGACATTTTTTTCTACATACTAGATCTTCCATGTTCTACTTCAATGTGTAACCTATGATTTAGAGCACCCTATTTTACTAAGTGATTTCGTATACAATAAAATTTATTTTTATCCTAGTATTCTTTATTTATAGTGGCATAAAAGTTGATTCATTCCTAATGAATTAGGAGTATGTATAGACAAATTATATTCGCTCTACAATCATGTTCCTTTCTCTAAACGTTAATTAAAACAATGTCTGTCGGTAGTACTGTGTAGATACTCAACTGTCAAATTTTTTCTAAGTAATTTGAGGTTATTACTACTTAAAGAACAAATGTAGTTCAGTTTCGTACTCATAAATGCTGTGATCTCTCATATTTGAGCAGCGTTTTTTTACCTTGCTACCCCAAACTGATTACAATCATTTTAGATATTGTTCATTAGTAGTAACTTGAAATATCTGGAATATGCCTTTAATGAACCATTTTATACTTAATGTTTTTTACGCTTTACATATTTTAATCTAAGTAGTTTGTAAGATATAGTCTATAGATGATGTTGTCTTTAGTGTTGTTATGTATGTGTGTTCTTTTGATTGATTATGCTAACGATTTTATGCATCATTTATGAACAGAGAAGTACCTTTATGAACTATTATTCTCGGTAAAACTGATAAGAAATAAAGATAGGTCAGAATTGTTTAATCCACCCTACTGGTCTCTTATCACGTTATTTGGAAATTTTCAGTCACCTTCAATTAAAGTTCTACAAAGCTGAGTATATTTATATACAGTGTTCAGTTGTTTGACTAATTAAGTTGTTGCAACTTCAAAGTTATCCTAATTATGACTTTTAATTTGATGTTTTTGAAATGTGTAGAGCTGTAGCTTAGTATTTGATTTCTAACCACCAGTTTGCAAAAGCTGATTTGATTAGGTTTTGCTCGCTTCCTCCAAAATGAGTCTAATTCTTAATCTGTTTTAGAAAAATCCTAAAAGCAATTCCTCGTTTACGTTTATTTCTGTCAGATACTTTTTATTATCATTTAACATTGCTAACGGTTTGCTGTGAATTCACTAGTGAAACATGACCTGTCAGTTTTATTTTAATTAAGTTTAACTTTCAGTATTTTAGTAAGTTAGTCACGTTTAGAATAACTTTGTACTTATTGGTGAGTTTTAAATAATCACTGATCGGTCCACTCCTCATTTGACTTAAACATTCAGATAGGAGGATATTTATCATTTAATTGTTAACGCACTTAATACCTCTTGCTTCCAGAATGCTGATCCAAACTTTACGTACTGGGGTCCACCACCACAGACTACTGGAGGATTCGATATGCTTCCACAGGATATGATGAGCGGGTCAGATCCAAGAGATATGCAACGTCGAATGCCTGGTTATCCCCCACCTTCACAAATGTCAGGGTATACAGGACCTGGTGGTAGTGGGGCAAGTTATCCTCCTCAAATGGGTTGGCCACCTGGGCAGCATGATTCTGCAAAATGGAATCAATCTGTACCTAACTACAACTCTCAACCTGGACACAAAAATTTTGGTGGTCATGAGTTAAGCAGCAATGTATATATTGAAGGTGAAGAACCAGAAGATGAACAATCTGTGTATCCTAATTCGTCTTATGAATGCGGTAAATTCATTAGTAATTTGTGTTTAGTTAGTTCTAGTCACAATCAGTATTTTGTTTTATTTAAATGTTACTTCTGTATATATTTAATAGTTAGTAGCTTTTATACTACTGTCAGGAATAACTTTAAGTATTACCTGGAAGGTGTATATTATAGATTTGTCAAAGGCTGTAACTTTGGCCTATAACCTATCCTTCTGTCATATCATAGTTCTACTATTAAATCTGATTCTTGGTCGTTCTTCAATAAATCGATTCTCCTTGTATAGTCTTTAGAACTGTGTGGTATGTACTTGGCAAAGATGAACCAAACTGTTTTCAGAAAGTGATAGCAAGCTTTATCATTCTATCTCTAATGGTTGTTTCAAGATTTAAATCCAACCACTTCAATAGAAGCTTAACCAGCTATTTGCAGCTTTGATTTCAGCTATTTTCGGTATGAGATAAAGGCACTGATTTTTAATTCATATCAAGCTATATAATTCCTCTCGTTTTTCGTTCTCTAAATATCGGAATTGAATTACTGAGATGATTACTGTTCTTCACTTGTGATAAGTGTTGGAAGAGTCCCGGAAATATACCTCGTCAAAATCTCCGGAGGCCCAGAAATGCCAGGAAGTCTTCAGAGAAACATCTAGAAAATGGAGAGTCACGTGCTAGAGTGTTGATTGGATGTTTACCCATACTACTACTATATTTATTATGGTCTCGAGAACTCCTAGAAGCTCTAGGTTGTGTGTAATTCTGCAAAGGTCCTTGTTTTTCTGTTCATAAACTAACCTCAGAGTAAAGCTGTTGCTCGCGGTTCGCACTTGCTCTAGTGTTTCAACTGACTTGTAGAAGTAGTCGGGAATAACCGAACAGGATAGGAAGACAGTTTAAGTGTGTCGGTAGCAAGACTTATCAATAAGTATTGGCTGGTAAAGAAATGCTTTTCTACCTCCAGCGTATCGAAAAATGGGGGAGGAATTAAAAAGGATATCTAATTTTCACGTTGACCGTCCATCTTCTGGAAGCTACTCGCTTCTATTCAGGCGAGGTATTAGGAAAGTGCGAAATATATAATCTAGTGGCTTGGTTATATTTTCTGAAGGATTTTAACGTATTGATTGCTTAGATTGTGTACACACATTAAATTATTGGTTGATTGTTAATTCTATTCATCCAAACTTATTTATTGGCCGAACATTTAAAATGATATATTTCATTATTTTGGATGTCGTTTTAATCACTGGTTGATGCATAAATAAATCCTCACGTAACATTCTTACTTTCTTTATTCCATTGACCCATTTCAGTTTTGTTCCACTCAATAAGTAGAATAAAAAAACTTGTTTTTCGGCCAATAGTGAACAACCATACCAGTAGTAGCTATCAACAATTTAAGTATGATATAACAAGCCAATATTTTATTTATGAAAATCCCCGTTCTAAACCACTGAATGATGACATTCTTTAACATTCTCAATTCTTTTTATGTAGTTGGGCGAAATACATGACAGAAAATAAAAGACGAGATTTTATTTGAAGTAAACAATAATATATACACGTATGTATAGCACGAAATATAAGTGAATAGACTTGGTTTCTTTTATATTGTCTCAGTCTGTTCATTCAGTTACAACATTCATCTAGGGAGTTGATTCTCGATTTGTTTATAAGATAAGGAAATAAAAGACAAGTTAGTTACATAGTATGTATATATATATACATGGTAACCTTAAATGATGATAAACATTTCATTGGAGATACTTTAAATTGATGTCTTTGAATTTTTTCATGGGTTCTTATTTCTTTATAATCTATTACGAAATTGCAAAACCTGTTTCTTGATTGGTAACCCATTAACTATCTTATTGTATATACTTTCTTCAAATTTGTCTGATGAAAATTATCTTAAAGAAAAAATGTTATCTTTCGTCTAACTAAATTTCATTTTATCCTTAATTATTATAAAGGTATATACCGTATACATTATGTGCTAAGTACATATTGCTATATATATATATATATTCTTTTCCTTTTATAGGATCTTATGGAGGTTATTATAATCATAACAATAACGATTATCGACAGTATGAAGACTCTTCTCATGGTGTTCGAAATACACGAGACAATCAAAATAATCGTGATGAGAAACCTCGAACATTTCGCGGTAGTCGTCCTTCACGATTTTCCTCTGCTCCATCTCATCCTGAGACAGGTAATGAAAAGAAAATTGATCGTAGTGATACTGGAAAAAATACTGTCAGTATGGAACAGCAACACATAACACCTAAGACTGATCTAGAAATGCCAAAAAATTCAGAAAATTCTATGATACCGGTTGTTGAATCTTATGACATAAATCAAAAATTCCCCGCTTGGCAATTACCTGCAGGATTAGTACATCCATTAATTCGATTAAAAGATTTTGATTTTACTCCACTGAATGAAAACAATTTGCAATTATTACCTCCAACAACACCGTCTGAACGTTTGCTTATGGCATTGGAGAATTTCTACATGCCACCCACCCCAGATAAACCACGTGATGGCGAAGGTTGGGAACACATGGCTCTTCATGAATTTTATACGAAAAAAGAACGCGCTCGTCCTTCTGAGCATAAAGAAAACGATGTTAGTCAAATTTTTTGTAACTTGGAAATTTCGCTTAAAATGTTTTGTAATTAGATGTTTCCAATTTTAATATTTACTTATTTATTAGTTTGAATAATTACTACTTGAGGAAAATATAGAGGTGACTATCCTTTTGCACTTAATAGATTTTCTCCAAACGCTTATTTAAATAAAAAAATTCTTTTCAACAAATTCACATCAATTTCTATGATTATGAATTTAAATTAACGTTCAAAAGGGAATAACTAAGTTTGGGACAAAATACATCAAATAAATTAATTTTCTATCTCATATTATAGTCTAACTACCTTTTACTTCAAAATTCAATTTGTAAAAGCATAGTGTAAATGTTGAATTTTGTTCTATATTCTTAAGACAAACTTTTTCCTTTAATTTTTACCCAAAGAATTTTCAGCTGTAATTACACTTTTGTGTGTACTTGTGTTGTGTACTATTGAAGCCACTCGTTTATTCATGGCTCAATTGCTTTCTTTTAGATTAAATCACAAACTCATAACAATACAATCAATTAAATAATATTTTCAGAAATTATGGATTAGTAAAATATTTCTGAGATTTTTATTATTCATATTAATCAGTTTATCCACTTGAATAGTTTATATCACATTGACCAATACTATTGTTTGTTCGGATGAGTTTAAAGAATTATTGGATTTAATTAGTAAATAATGTATTGATAATTTTTATTAAACAGTTTGTAGTCGATTTTCAAGCTTTTAGCAAGGTATCAAAAATCAACATTTATCTAAGCTAAAGATAGATTGAAACATTCTATCTTTAGTTGTAAAGATAAGCTGTTACGTTCAGTATGGTTTGTATATTTTGTATTATTAATTTATATAGTCTCGTTCTTCTGGACCGTTCATGAAGTAAATGTGCTATACCTTCTAGCACTTAATATATGTATTGTTCTTTATTTCATTTGTATAGAGAGACAACACATCTACCAGTAAAGCAAAGTCAAATCGACGCCGTCAACATAGTGGAGGTAGTTATGCAAGTAGTCACTCAGAATATGATTTCACAAATGAATTAGTTCCAGACCTTCAACATGACATAGTGGTTGACGTTGAAAAGCCGTTTTCACGTGACAATTCAGATAAGGAAGGTCCCCTTGGACCATCACAATTAGCATATATAACATCTTATCCCAAACTTGCAGTAGGTCAACCTCTCAGAACTGGCCTTGAAGCACTGACCTTGGCCCCTCCTCCTATGCAGTGTATGCAAGGACAACTAACACATAATTATAGTGCTTATAAAACAGCTGGTATTCAACCGGGTATTCCCATACCTGTCCCTCCGTTACCAGGTTTACTAGGTGCCATTCCACCTGGACCAAGTGGATTCCCTAATACAAACTTTCTACAATTTCCTCCTCCGGTCAATCAGCCACCACCAACCCTTCCACTGCCTCAAGGTTTGATTCAAAGGCCCCCACCAGGATTTTCTGTTGACCGTTTTGAATCTCGTGGGTCGCGATCTCGTTCTAGGTTTGTGCTAAATTTTAAAAGTTTCTAATATATATCTTATAGAGAACTGTTAGATATAATGCTTATATAATTCATTATACCAAATCGCTTTCAGTAGGCTACAATAAGTATACTTTATTTACTGAAGATTATTTAATTATTCCTTACACAGTTTGCTTCGAAATTCATCTTTTACAGATCTGATTCACGTTCAAAGTCTCATTCTCATTCTGCGGATTCACGTTCTCGTGACTTTCGTTCTCGTTCACGAACACAATCTAGATCTCATAGTTCTCAAAGTAGATCTCAGTCACGCTCTGATTCTCGTGATTCTCGTTCCAAATCTGTGTCACCTAATAATGATGATGAAACTGGTAGCAACCAGTCACGTGGCCTTTCAAGAGATCGAAGACGTAACAGGTTAGTTGTGCTTGCATTTCATACCTAATTTCCGTATGCTTCCTTCGTATGCTCAAAGTATTAGTAGTATATATTCTTACTTTTCCTTCATGTCTTTCTGATCTTTATGCCAATGTAAATTGTAGTATAAGAAGCTTGGTGTATTCTGTTGTTAAGCATACTTTTTTTCGATATTATGGTTGTCTATTCAGTTAGTTGGTGTCTAAATTATTAGCATATGATAAATTACGCTTTCCGTAATTAAAGACATTTGGTAGTATTACTGTACAATTCGGTTGTATTTAGCTTGTATGTAGTCTTTAAAAATATCGGGCGAAATAACAACGAAAGACAAGGTAGACAATTGGGAGAATACAATGTACATTTCTAGGAATATGGATTTTAAGCCCAGAGCTTGGTTTCGGTAGATGGAATTAATAGGACGAAACAGCCGTCCAGTGCTTCCAGGTTTTCCATGGTGGTCTAGCTTCAATTGGCTTATGATTAAAATTAAGAAATTAAAATAACAGGATCTTGGGAGGTATTTTCAGAAAAATGCATATTTATATACAGCGAATCTATTTTGTTATAAAACTCACTATTTTTCATAATTTCCGTAGTAATTTAGGTGTGAACAATCATCACTAGATGTAAAAAGGGCCATACGAGCTAAACAGTTAATTCTTCATTGATTAATATCGCTTATACTTCAAATTACTTTTTTTTCTTTTTCAGATCACGTTCACGAAGCTCAGGTTCACCGTTTGCTCGATTCACTTCAGCTCCTGGACCTGGTGGTTTAGGAGCAGCCGGTGGAGGCGGTAGCGGTGGGAATATAAACGCTGCTCGTGCTGCTGCAATAGCAGCTGCGGTTTCCATAGCTAATTCAATCAACGCACAATCTGTCTGGTCCAATAACAACGTTAGTAATAGTAACAATACTACTAATAATATACCCACTAACGCATTTAACAACCAAGGCTTTAGCGGGCCTGGTCTTTTACCAGGTGGTCCGTACGCAGACACCAATAGAATAACCTACTATGGCGGCGGATTTCAACCTGTGAGTCAATTATATTATTGATAGTATAATGTAGTTTCTGACTGATGTTTTTATAAATCCGAAGGGTGTAGAGCAAAACTGCATTTCTAGTTACTATAAGTTTATTAAATCACTTATAGATAATTTATGAATAATTTTTGAAAAAAGCTTACGAATGAACCCATATAAATATACATATATATATATATATATATATATATATTTCAGAACCAGGGACAACACAATCGTGGCGGTGGTGTTGGAGGCGGCGGTTCACGTGGTGGTTACAATTCCAATAATTTACCAGGGCGAGGAGGCGGTAATATGCGATACCATGGGTCGGACGATCGCTTTTATCCACCTCCACGCGATCACCAACGTCGATAAAAATGCTTTACTTGTTCATGAGATATTTTCCAATTATACTCTTTGACTTTTGCATTGTTTCTATTAATGAATATCATTCATGTGACTGTAAATTCAAACAATCTAAATACAACTATATATTGTTTGTTATGAGTCGTTCTTTCTGTTTTCCGGTCAGTGAGAATGAGGTTGCTATTCAACGTAATGCTAAATACCATGAGAATGGTTATAATATACTGTTTGTATGAAGTTTTAATATATAACGAGCAGCTAATGTTTTGCATCATCTTATTTCATACTGAAAGAGTTTAACCAATAGTGAAAGGTTATTTTTACCATAGCATGTTTTAATATGCGAGTATATGTCTAGTTGGTTAGCATTATATTGTTGTTGAGCTTTAAATGAGATAGATCATGAACCGATCATTATTAGATCACCATTGAAAACCTGAAAGTATTAGACGACCGTGTCGTCCTATGCCGTCCAATGCTTCCAAGTTTCCAATGGTGGTCTAATATTGATCAGTTCATGATTTCAATTATAGCATCATATTATTGAGTTCAAAACGGTCATTGCTAAAAATTTGTCAGGTTGATAAATCCAATACTTCACCATTCTACAGATGTAATATTAATATAAAGCAGCAACTTTATCATTGATGCACTCAACTTTTAATCAATACGTCACAGGTTCACAGTAGGTCATATATACTTGTGTTTTTCAACAATCTGGCTAATATCACTAGTTTTTACATAAATTGTATAACTCAAAGCCATTTATATCAACCTGTACTATGTAAACAAGTTATATCATCATTTTTATCTCATTATTACTTAAGGTGCAACGACTACCGATTAGAGTTATGATGAAAAGATGTATGATCTGGATTGGTAAAAATAGACGACTTGACAATAATTCTATTATTTTCTTAGGGTCCCTAAAACACTAAACTTGTATTCACTTTCCTTCTATTTATGTTATCTTGAGATGTTTTGTTCCTGTTTTTTATTTTGGGTCATTTTAGCAGCACAAACTTTACTACTCCTGTTACCTTTCGTGGATGAGCATAGGCCGCCCATTAGCATTCTCCATCCAACTCTGTCATGGGCATTCCTTTTTATTTGCTATTCAGACTTTTGATATCTGCTTCCGATTCCCGAGGCAGTGTGTTCTTTAGTCGTCCTCCTCTCCTTAATCCCTCAGGATTCCAAGTTGGGGCTTGCCTCGTGATGCAGTTCGATGATTTCCTCAATTTCTGTCCTATTCACTCCCAACGTCTTTTCCTAATTTCCTCCTCATATGACATCTGGTTTGTTCTCTCTCACAGTAGACTGTTGTTGCTGGTATCCGGTCAACGGACGTTGAATATCTAACGTAGACAATGGTTTACAAATACTTTTACATTTCGGATTATGGTTGTAGTAGTTCTTCAAGTTTCAGCTCCGTTAAATAGTATTGTCTTGACGTCCGTATTGAAGATTGTGACTTTGATATTGTTTGACAGTTGTTTTGAGTTTCAGATGTTCTTCAGTAGTTGGAATGCTAGCTTTGCTTTGTCAATCCTTGCCTTCAGTTTTGCACCAGATCTTCCCTGTTTATCTATGATGCTGTCCAGGTACATGAAAGTTTCCACCTCTTTCAGTGCTTCTCCATCGAGTTTGATTGGGATTGTGCTCTCTGTGTTATCTTTGAGGAGCTTGCATTTTCGCTTCAGTATGTTGAGGCCTACTACTTCAGAAGCTGCTACTACGCTGGCTGTCTCCACCTGGATTTGTTGATGTGTATGAGATAGATGAGCTAGCTCATCTGTGAGCACCCTTGTTTTGCACTGGTCCTCATTTGCAATGCGTCTGCCAGTTGTCCTCAATGCACCACTTTGCAGTGTAGTCCGTTGTATGGATTCCAGATAATGATGACGATTTTCTCAGCTAGTCACTCCATAGTTTCGAAGAAGGTTCCATAATTATCTATCCACACTGTCAAATGATTTTTCATAATTAAGGAAATTGATGTATAGTGACGAATTCCATTCAATTGATTGTTCAGCGATTATCCGTAGCGCCGCGATTCGGTCTGTGCACGACCGATCCTTAAGGAATCCGATCTAATGATCTCGAAGTTGGGTGCTCACTGAGTTTTTAATCCGGTTCATCAACACTTTGTTAAAAACGTTTCCTGGTACTGATAGTAGTGTGATGCCTCTGCAGCTAAGTTATCAAACTGTTCGAATCTCCCTTCATTTGTATCTTGATTAGATAACTTTCTTTACAGTCTGTCGGCACTTGTTCTTCCTCCCAAATCTCCCTGATTAGAGTGTGAAGCATGTTTGCAGTTACTTTTGTGTTTAACTTCAGTGCTCCAGCTGGTATATTGTCAGGTCCTGCTGCTTTCCTGCTCTTGATTTGTCTGGTGGCCATGCTGGTTGCTTCGATTGTTGGTGGAGTGACATCGATAGGAAGATGTGCGCTGCTTCAATGTCCGGTGGGTTCAGCGGGTCTTATCAAGAGTTCTTCAAAGTGCACTACCCACCGACTCCTCTATTTCTGAGTCTCAATGATTGACTTGCTTCATTCGTCCTTAACTGTTTACCCTGGTTCACTATATTTCTCTGTCAATTTCTTCATCGTGTAATATGGTTGTTTCATATTTCCTTCTCTTGCAACTTTCTCCACTGTCATTGCTAGATCTTCCACGTATTTATGCTTGTCAGTTCTATTGCTCCTCTCCACTTCATTATATGCATCAGTGTATTCAGCTTATGCCTTAACTTGCTCTGTTCTCATTCAGCTGTTGTTAATTGCTGTCTTCTTGTTCTTCCTTTCTTGATTCAAATACAGAGTTTCCATAGAGACCTATTCCTTATAAAAGTGCTTCTTCAGGCTTGGAACCTGCTGAAACGTTGAAGTTAATGCTTCACTGATCTCTTTCCAGTTGTCCTCCATAGTAGTTTCTTCTTCCTTCAGTAGATCTTGTAAGGCTTGAAACCTGTTGTTGAGAGATATCTTGAATTCGTTGAGTTTGTTAGTATGTGGAAGGAAGGCAGTATTGAACCTTTGTAGGGCTGATTGTCCAGTTGTCCAGTACTTCTTGAGATTCAGTTTCAGCATGGCAATCATCAGGCAGTGATGATCTGAAGCTATGTCAGCTCCTCTCATGATTCTCACGTCTTCCATTGTCCTTCTGGATTCTTTAGTGATACAACTATGATCGATCTGGTTCTTTGTAGAATGGTCGGGGAGACCCATGTAGCTTTGTTTAATTTGTTTGTGTGGGAATAATTTGCCTCATGTAACCAATCTGTTGAATGCACATAAATTCGCAAATCTCTCACCATTCTCGTTCCTTTCTCCCAGTCAGTCCATGCCGTCCTGTGATATCTTCATATCCGATGTTGTCCATTCCAACTTTGGCGTTTAGATCTCCCATCAGGATGGTCAGGTCGTTTCCCGAGCACTTTGCTAGAATGGATTGTAGCATCTCGTAGAACTGATCTTCATCGTCGTCGTCGTTACTGTCATTGGTGTGTGCAAAACATTTGAAAACATTCATCGTGATTACTTTCTTCTTTGTTTTGAATGATGCTTTGATGATCCTGGGTCTATGTGATTCCCATCCTATAAGTACTTTACGTGGTTCATTGAACGGCATCAGTCCGACTCCTTGTGTGTGCAAGACACTTTCTCCTTTGTGATCCGAGTACATCAGCATGTTTCCCAAATCTCATCTTTTCTACTCAACTTGAATCGAATGGGTTTCATTGATTACTAGAAATGCCAAGTTGTATCTGCCCATTTCCGTAGCTATTTTACTGGTTCTCACGATCTCACACATTGTCCGAATATTCAATGTACCTATGATAATTGTTTCTCTGGTCGTTCGAAGTTGCGTCGGCCTCGTGACTTCCGAAGAATCTCGGCTTTCATCATAAGGCGTCATGATTCTTCTGAATGAAGATCCTTCAACTCGGAGGACAGAGTTTAAATGCTTTAATTTGTTCATTCTGGTTAGCGTGTTTTTAGCAATGTTGTTGTATACGGGATGTGGCTGCTTACTCGATGCCCAACCCTCCTACTGTATTCGGGCTTGGTACCGGCAGTAAACCTAGGAGGGCTGTAGGCGGAGTTATGTTACACCGAAGCAATAATTATTTACATAATTAATTTGGCCAGTCTCATGACATCGTGAAAGCATTCTGTACAGTTATTAAACTGTCCTTCATTACATCAGGTCGACGAAGCTTGTCCGCAGGAGCTAATAAGACACATGGCCAATTTTAAGGTTGTCTTGTCTCAAATGGAACGACATGCTGATTTGAACTATTCTACCATTATTAAACAATCAGTAAAGCGACTGTCGCGAATTATACAGTTTAAATGGCTGGAAGCGGTAGTAGACATCTTGAAGTGAGTAATAGAGCCCAATTTCGACGACTGGTTACAGTTTTTAGGAAAGATATTGTCCGTCTGTTACCACCATTGTCTTCAAGCACCAGAAAAATGTACACAAATTCATCTAGTTGCATTATTAATTACCTAATTAACAGAGACTAGTTGCAACATGAATTTCCCGGAAACTCTAATATAAAGTCAAACGTATGGGGAGTTCATTCACTCAAAGTATCGAATGAGGATAGCTTGTATGTCACATATTGACTGAAGTTGATGATTCCTAGGTCATTGAAATATGACTCATTTGGCTGATGTGATCATACTTGCCACTAAGCTCAAATGTCATGAATTTGATTATATACGATTTCATATTTCCACACGACCACGGAATCAGGAAGAAAAACTTTCCAGTACTCATTGGTGTTCAATGACCTTATCCAACTAATATCAAGTTGTGGCATACCCTTCAATCGTCTGTTTTTGTAGCCTTAGTTTGTAGACTGCTTTATTGTTATTGTCTCAGTTTCCATTGTTACGTTTTTTTATTGATGCTCAAACAGGTATATAAGTCATGTATCGTGAATAGTTCCAAAGACTCTTGTTATCTGATAAGAAAAACTATTTATTACTATTGTGTTTCACCATCATGATCTGCATTATATTGGATAAAATAGTGACATAAAATTGTTTATTTTCCTTTGATTTTTTAAGTCTTTCCTTAACCTGCGATACATCTGATTACACTAAGTCAAATTATGG